GCAGTCCACGTTAAGCCTCACAGTAGATGCTTCTTCCAGCTTCCTCTTGTTAGTAAGCAGATCCTTCATGAACTTCGCGTACTTTGCCATTTGTGCTAGTGCATCCACGAATGGTATGTTAAGCTGGATTTGTTTCATGAGTTTCAGAAAATGACTAAACTGGTCACTATGATTCTTCCTTGTCAATCGTGCCGGATAGGGGAGAGGTGGGGTGTAATTCTTGACCGGAACGGGCTGTTTTGGTGCAGCCGCCACCCCTCTTCCCTCGTCTTTCTCCTTTTCTTCTTCCCGGGCAGCCGGTTCAACTTCAACTTCATCGGGCTTTTTTTTTTGGCAGCAGGTTCTAGCTCTCTTCCACTCTTCAAGGTGATTGCCTGGACATGTTCTCTTGGGTTTGGCTCGGTATTACTAGGGAGGGATCCCTGAGGCCTCTCATATACAACTTTTGCAAGATGCCCCAACTGATTTTCCATGTTCTGCATCCTTGCATTTGCTTGTTGATTATTTACCTCAGAAGCTTGTATGAAACGTTTGAGGGTTTCCTCCAAGCTAGCAAACTTTTGGTCAGTCTCTCTCCTAAAATTTCCTTGCCCCGGCTGAGGTGCTTGCTGCTGGCCTTGAGGTGCTTGGGGCTGATTATAGTTCCTAGACTGCTGCTGCTGCTGATTTCCTTGCCCATAATTCCCTTGTTGTTGCTGCCCGCAAGGCTGATTGTAGTAGCCCTGCCGCTAATAATACATTGCATCCACTTGATCTACTCCAGGGGCTGCCGAGTGTGCCATCATAGTGCATTCATGTGGCGAATGGAGTCCCCCACACATAGTACAAGAGGGAGTAATAGGAACGGGGGCTACCATATTAACACTTAGCACCGAGAAGGCAAGATCCATTTTTTATTATCCTCCACACTGGTAGCGAGCTTCTGAATCATGCTAGTCAAAGCATCTACCCTTGCAGAAAGGGCAGAATTATTACTGATCTCATACAAACCCGGGGCCTTCTGGTGAGGTGTGTCCCGGGAGCTATACCATGATGCATTGTTTGAAACATTCTTCTACACTAGTTCTTCTTCCACCTCAGATGGTAATTGAGGAAAAGCTCCACCACCCGAGGCATCCAGCATCATCTTCCCTTCGTTATTGAGCCCGCTATAGAAGATTGATATAACCTCACAATCACGCATCCCGCCTTGAGGGCAAGCTCTTCTCAACACCTTGAACCTTTTCCATGCCTCAGCCATTGTCTCGAGGGGTCCTTGCTTGAATTCTTGCAGCTGCTTCTTCAACTTTAGTGCTTTTGATGTCGGAAAGTATTCTTTAATGAACGCTTTGTGCAATTGGTCCCAAATCTGAATATGATGGTGAGGATTGCTGTCTAGCCACCTCTGCGCGTCGTCCCTCAGTGAGAAAGGGAAGAGTAACATCCGCACCTGATCATCAGCTACTCCAGGTATCTTGAAAGTCTGGCACATCCGCAGGAATCGGGTAATATGCGCCACTGGATCTTCAGTAGGGCCTCCTCCAAATTGATTATTGGACACCATGTTAATTGTAACACCCCGGCCCCGCAGGACCCGGGGTAGTTACTCCGGACCTCTAGTACTGTCCCCACAAACCGCCACTAGCCTTTTCCGCGCACTTTGTCCTCACTCGTGCGCGCCCTGAGAAACTTCCCAGGGGGTCACCCATCCCATGACTACTCCCGTGCAAGCACACTTAACTTTTGGAGTTCTTGGTGATGAGCTCCCTTAAAAGGAGATGCATCTTGTTGGTATGAGTAGTACTATTAATCCATTTATATTAAATCTCAAGTGTTACAATCACCCCCACTTAGGATCACAACGTCCTCGTTGCGCCCTTAAACCAATCTCAATCAAACCCCAGAATCTTTTCCCCTGCTAGGTGTCTGCCCGATATCTAACGGATCAGCACACTGTCGCAAGGTTGCTCTGATACCACCTGTAACACCCCGGCCCCGCAGGACCCGGGATAGTTACTCCGGACCTCTAGTACTGTCCCCACAAACCGCCACTAGCCTTTTCCGCGCACTTTGTCCTCACTCGTGCGCGCCCTGAGAAACTTCCCAGGGGGTCACCCATCCCAAGACTACTCTCGTGCAAGCACGCTTAACTTTTGGAGTTCTTGGTGATGAGCTCCCTTAAAAGAAGATGCATCTTGTTGGTATGAGTAGTACTATTAATCCATTTATATTAAATCTCAAGTGTTACATTAATCATTGCTGGATTGATCTCATAACGGTTTGCAGTAATTCCAGGCACTTGAATGCTGTCATACTCTGAAATCTCTGGAGTAAGAAAATCTGCAATGGACTCTCCTTGATAGAGCGGGTTGTTATGTGGGACATAGTTCTGGAATGGAGGAGCCTGATGTCTCGGCTGAAGAACTGGCTGTGGACGAATAGGTTGTGGTTGGATAACGTTTGGTTGCGGTTGGGGCTGCACTTGGGGCTGACAGAATTGTTGAAACTGGTTTTGGAAAGGTTGAGTTTGAGGTTGACTCAGGGGTGGATTTTGAGTGACTGGGGGCTGGTTTTGTCTCGACTGAAAGACCGGAATGTTTTCCCCTATACCTCGCATCCCATAATTTTGATTTCGAAAAGTGGTTTGAGGAGTTGTAGAGGTATTTTGGAAAAGCTGATATAGTGGTGGAGGATTTAACTGTGGAGTGGACTGATTTTGAGGAAAGAATGGTGTGCGTAAATTCTGAAATCCCGAATAATTTCTAGGTGAAATAGGCGGTGAAGACTGGGGGGAGGTATTGACATAAAAATCCAAGTTACGAGAAGTGGTTTGGACCTCAGACGTCCCAGCTATTCCAGATGAAGATGGTTGTTCCATGGTTGTGTTCTTTTCTCTCAATGCCTTGCGAATCTGTCTGGCGAGCTTCTCAATCTCAAGATTAAGAGGGACTAGTGATTCTCCCTTCGTAGAGCGTGTATGCAAAAGCAGATCTGACCTGCAAGGTTAGCAGACAAAAATCCTACGAAAAACTGAAAAAAAAAATCGCTGATATTAATTAACCCGTAAATCCGACACCGTCCCCGGCAACGGCGCCAAAAACTGATGTGTGTTTTCTCGCACTTAATGTCACGCCCCGGACCTACCCGGACATGTCAACAATCCGCCATACAGTACGAATAGTCAACCGCAGTCCAACACATCCATACTATACAAGGCGTCTGGAATATCATTCACACATAGTACATCCATAAACAAACATAATGTAAAATTTTGATTTAAAACATCGGAAGCAATATAACAAGTGTTTAAGACACACTTGGCAAAAGCAGGGGCATACAAGCCCTCAAATAGTTATTCAGAAAATATAATATCCATGAGCATTAACATAATTGTTTTTAAAACAGGAACGGGGGAAGCACGAACCACGTCTTCCTTCCTTGAATACTCCCGAAACAACGGCACTGGTAGCAAGCTTAACTCCTATCTGAAACTGTGAGGTGGCCTCCCCCGTGAAGGGGAGGTCAGTATTTGGAAACATTTGACAAGTACAGTGACAACTATACTAAGTATAATCAAAGTTTCAATTTCCAAGACCCTCAAACTAGGGTGTTATCATATCATAGTTAACTTTGTTCGTTTACGGCCTGTTTGGATTAGGTGTTGGGAGGGGTTAGTAATGGAAGTTTTAGGGAGTGTTTAGATTAACACTTGTTTGGGAGAAAGTTTAAAAAAAATTGGAGGTCTTAATAAGTGTTTGAGGGTGTTAATCAAAACCATCCTAACACCTATATTTACCACTTTTTTAACACTCCAATTTGGGGTGTAATGAAGTGTTGGACAACCTTTGCCCCTATTATTCCCAACTTTCTCTGTGTCCAATTTCTCAGCCGCAGCCAAGTCCATTCTTCTTCTTCCTAAGACCGCTTTTCTTCTTCGGCAGCCCCTAACACCGTTCTTCTTTTTCACCTCCTGCTGCAGGGCTGTTCTCCTCCAGGTTTGTCTTCTCTTTCTTCTTCATCCTTTTCGATTTTAGCTATCTGCTAATTATTTATTCATTCAGCTCTTGCTATATATATATATATATATATCTATATATACACCAGTATTCAGGTCCGGCCAGGCCGGACCACTCCCCCCCGTCCGGCCTCCTCCATTTGGGGGCTTTCCCAGTGGTATTTTTTGCTCAAATTTTTTTGTAGGTTCCTCATCAAGTCTAGTTCATCCATACCAAATTTCAGCCAAAATTTCAATCAGGAAGGTCGTCAAATGATTTTTGCAAGTTAACTGGTCCGGAATATGTATTTTCCGGACCAGTTAACTTGCAAAAATCATTTGACGACCTTCCCGATTGAATTTTTGGCTGAAATTTGGTATGAATGAACTAGACTTGATGAGGAATCTACACAAAACATTTGAGCAAAAAATACCACCGGAAAGGCCCCCAAATGGAGGAGGCCGGACGGGGCTCCGGTTAAGGCGTCTGGAATATCATTCACACTCAGCTCCGGACTTGATGAGGCGTCTGGAATATCATTCACACATAGTACCTCAAGATTAATATTGCAGCTCTCTCTCTCTCTCTCTCTATATATATATATATATATATATATTCAGATTCAATAAACATATTTATTCTCCAAACAATTTATTCTCTTGTTCTCCTTCTTCTAGGTTTGTATGGAGCTTTATCAATTGAATACGAAGAAAACTTCGACGATGGAGCAAATAGCAGGCCGTGAGCTTTATATATTGTTGCACGTTCTACTTCATTTTTGCTTTAATTATGTTGATATTTTAAAAAACTGGTTGATGTTGCTTATATTCAAAAGATGTACGGAGTATTTTTTGTTGATTCTTCTCTAATATAATTGACTTGAATATGATCGAGTATTATATTTGCTGATTATACCAAGTATATGATGATTGTTATGAGGATATTCTTGTCATTTTAAATGAAAACACTTCCATTATTAACACTTCATTTTTTCGACTCTCCCAAACAAGGTAAGATTTTTTTTTTTTTTGCATAACCGTGTCTTATTTATTTCGATAGAAAGAAATACAAGAGTAGGAGGGCCAAACCAAGCCTACTCAAAATCAAAGTACATATGGATAACTAATTGCATCAAACTTAAGAATGCCAACAAAGTGATTAAAGTGATGAACATTGGTTTTAGTCGAAGTATTCCGATAAGCTAAATACTCAGCAGCCCTATTAATTTTTGGGTGAGTGTGTTGTATTGTCCAGTTGCAGCCCTTTAGCTTGTATTTGATGTCGCGGATTCGAGATCAATACTTCCAGTGGTGGAGTGAAAGACCCGTGATGCCCTCGTAGACTTCCCTATTATCTATCTCCAAAACAACATTGTTCAAGTGAGAGTTCTTAAAGAACTGGATAAAATAAAGAATGGCATCATATAAAGCAAAGGTAATATGAGTTTTATTTGACAGGTGGGTTGCATGACCAAAATAATTTCCCTTCTCATCCCGGATAAGTGCAGCCGTCCGGTTAAGGGTAGGGGTAAGGATGCGAGCTGCAATATTAATCTTGAGGTAGGTCGGGGGCGGTTTGGTCCAATAACTAATAGTGGGTTGGGCCGTCTTTTTAGGAAAAATGGTGTGGATATTAAAAGGGACATTTGGGCCATGAGCAATTAGAGGATTGGCAACAGACATGACAAAAATATCATTTTTAATAGCTTTAATTGCCTCAGAAAAATTGGCCTTTTTGTCATCATAGAGATAGTTATTTCGGATCTTCCAAAGTTGCCAGGTAATAATATTTGGAACAATGTAGTTCAAATCCTTTATATGGCTTTTATAACCTTTGTACCATTTAGTAATGTAGTTACTAAAGGTGGTACGTTTGAAGGACGGAAAGTTCAAAACCGTTTCAAAATGCTGCCAGATGTTACTGCTGAAATTACAGTCAAGGAAAAAATGGTCAATGGAGTCTTCATTAAGACACAAAGGACATTTAAAAGGACCAAATATTCCAAATTGGGTCAATTTATCCTCAAAAGGCAGCAAATTGTTAGTTAAACGCCACAGGAAAAAGGAATTTTTTTTAGGAATTCGGTTGTTCCAGATGTACTTAGCCAAAGGTAGCAAAGTCTTTTTAGGCCTAATAACATCATAGGCACTAGAAAAACTGAAATTGCCATCGGAGCAAGGTTGCCAAATATAGTTGTCCTCTTGGTCAGTGAAACGGATATTCATAGCATGGATATTATCAATAACATATCTAGGCAAACAATTACGGACCTGGGGATTAAGGGTCTTACCAGACATAGCATATTTAATAGTAATGTTACCTAGAGCCGTAGGTATGTCCTCCCGGTATTGGTAAAGAGGACCTATATCACACCAGTTATCATACCAAAAGGAGTTGTTACCCTTTTGAACCTGGATACGACAGTTGGCACTGAAAATGTGCTCAACGGAATTGAGAGCATTGAACATAACAGAGCGAGAAAGATCAGAGAGAGAGTTGGCCCAAGATGCCCACAAACCTGTACCATTCTTAACCTTCCACCACAATTTAAGAAAGAAAGCACTTTGGATATGATTAAGATTTCTGAAACCTAGTCCGTTTTCGGTTACTGGATGGCAACATTTATCCCAACTGCGCCATATATGTTTCTTCTGGTCGTCTTTCCTGTCCCACAGAAAGTTAGAACATTTTCTCTCAATATTATAAATAATAGATTTAGGAAAGGGAGAAACTGCCATGTGATAAAGAGGAAGGGAGCTAAGAACATGTATGATAAGTATCATTCTTCCCTCCACCGTGAGGAGTTTGTGTTTCCAACCTGCAAGTTTATTGTCAATCTTGGCAATAACATGATCAAAATGGGAATTAAGAGTACGGCCACTGTGAATATTTGTTCCCAAGTAATTAAAAGGAAATTTTCCTTTTTTTATTTTAAAAATACTGTCAATAATATTGCAATTGTAGGGTTTAGCATGCTTAGAGATAAGATAAAAACTCGTATCCTTGCTAATGAGTTGCCCAGAGAAATATTCATAATCCGTTATAACCTTATGAAGAGGCTCCAAAGTTTTTTTTTTCAGCATTCGAGAAAACAATCAGGTCGTCGGCGAAGGTTAAATGTGTGATACTAGGCATACCCAGGTAAGTGTTGTAAGCTATGCCCTGCCCTTGAGAGAAAAAGTTGTTGAGTTTTTTTGTGAGAATTTTAGCAACCATGATAAAGATGATGGGGGAGAGGGGGTCCCCCTGTTTAACCCCACGAGAAGGTTTGAAAAAACCAGTAGGGGCACCATTAATCAAAATAGAGAACCAAGTAGCGTTAAGGTTGTTGTTAATGAGATTAACAAAAATAGGGTGGAAACCAAACTTGGTTAGGACAGATTTTATAAAAGGCCAAGACAGCCTATCAAAGGCTTTAGCCATGTCAAATTTGAAAATAACATTGTGGCCTCTTATTTTCTTATTAATGTGCTTAACCAACTCTCTCAAAATCAAGATGCTGTCAGAGATCTCTTTCCCTTTTTGAAAGGCAGTTTGTTCAACGGAAATGATTTTAGGGAGAAGAGGAGTAATGCGAATAGTAATGATCTTAGTAAAAATTTTGTTAATATAATTACTAAGACTTATAGGTCTGAATTTTGAGAACTAATAGGCATTAGGTTCTTTAGGTATGAGGGAAATAAGGGTGTGACCAATGCTTTTGGGTATTGGGACTCCACAAAAAAAGTCCTTAACTGCATTTAGAAGGTCATCTTCAATTATGTCATACACATTTTGGTAAAAAAAAAACCATCAAACCCATCAATACCCGGAGCGCTGTGTTTATCGAGGCTGAAAACTGCAGCCTTTAGCTCAGTTTTGGTAATGGGACTCAAAAGGTTTGCATTATCATCGTCAGTAATGACAGAGTTAATATTCTGCAAATAGGTATTAAGATCCTGGCCATCAACAGTTTCATTAGCAATAAGGAGATTAGAATAGAAATCAACATCAGCAATGCCAATATCAGTCATGTTGTCCACCCAAGAACCATCCTCCTTTTTTATTTTGGAAATATTCAATTTTTGGTGTTTGGCTTTAAGGGATAGATGAAAAAATTTTGAGTTTGAATCTTCTTCCTTAAGCCAATGTATTTTAGCCTTTTGCCTATAGAAGTGTTTATATGGGCAGAAGATTGAATGTACTTAGCCTGAGCTTTTTTCAAAAGGATATGATCCTCATCGAGAAGGGAATCAGAGACCTTAGTTTCTAAAATAGCAATTTCTTTTTCAGCTTCAGTCAAAGTTTCAAAAATGTTTCCAAGAACGTTTTTGTTCCATTCTTTAAGAGCAGTTTTCAGTCTTTTGAGTTTAAATGAAAATTTCCACATGCCATATCCCGAACATGGAGTGATCCATGAGGATTTCACAGTATCAAACAAGGTAAGATTATGTGTAACACTTACACGTACCCTCCTTTCCGGGCTCGTGAAAACACTTATTAACACTTCCATTACTAACACTTCCTCACACTCAATCCAAACAGGCCGTTAGTGTCAATTCATCGTTACTTACCACGGTCTAGAGCCCAGCTCAATAATCACCGTTTCCTACTACGGTCTAGAGCCCAGCTCAATAATCACCGTCATCTACATCGGTCTAGAGCCCAGCTCGATAATCACCGAATACTACTACGGTCTAGAGCCCAGCTCAATAATCACTGTTATCTACATCAGTCTAGAGCCCAGCTCAATAATCACCGATTCTTTACAATTCAATTTCTTAGGATCCATTCATCCATTATTCAACTCCAACTCCAACTATTATTTAAATACTAGTTATTTACTCATTTCAATATAATTCTTCATTCATGTGTAATTTGGCCTAAATATCAAAATATCACTTTTATACTTTCATGGCTTCTCCTCATGAAATAAAAGCATACTTATCACAAATGGGATTCATGGTTGATACAACTATCATGCCATCATATTCATAACATAAAAACATACACAATTTATTCATAAATTTGTATGTTATGCAAACTATACTTATAATCAATAGTAATTCCATTTAGGCATTATTAATAATCCATGCAAATCACATCTTTGTATTCATTTAGGAAATCTCGTGAAATTAACTCAAAGATTATAAACAATATAGTCGGTCATCCTCACCTTAAGTGAGCTTACGCGCGCTCTACGCTCCCCGATTGAACTTTGACTAATTTCCGGCGAACTTTGACCAACACCGGTGAAACTCCGGCGAAGCTCAAAAATACTCTAAATCAAGTCCCTAACAAGGTTTTAACTTTTAACATCATAAAACCTTAATCAATACACATAACCTCTAAAAGGTTATTTTCCGGTGAACCGGTCGTTTTGGCTTCTAAGTCCATTCTTGGACATAGAACAACTTTCCAACCCATTATACCACACTCATATCATGTAGAACAATTCTAAGGATTCTTCATATGATATATATCTCATATGATAGAGGAAAAATAAAGGAAAAGTTATGATAAGGTCATTACCTTGATTTTCACACTTTTTCCTAGCTTTTTCCTTCTTTAATCTTCCTCCTTGGAATTCCTTTGCTTGAGCTCGAATTATCTATGGAGTATGGAGTTGAAGAGCTTCCTCTCTCTCTCTCTTTTCTTTGTGCTGGCCAAAGTATTGATGAGGAAGGAGGGGGGTGTACCTCTCTTTTGTCTCTTTGAGAAAAATAAGGGTGAGAGGGCCCCTTTGGATGTCAAAGGTGTCTCCCCCATCTCTTCAATAGCCTCCAGCCCACTTTTGGGCTCAATCAACCTTTGTTGGTTGACAATTTCGTGGGGGTGGCCCCCACCCATGTGAGAGGTCATCCCAATTTGTCCCAAAGTGTACAATCGGTCCCGAAAGTTGTATTTTTCGGACTTCTTTTAATATAATTTATTTTATCGGGTCAAATAAAATATTTTACATGTTCTCAATCATTATGACTCTCATAACGAATATACATTCCCCAACCTTTATTTATAAGCCTCCGAAATTCATTTCGGACTGTCATCTGTTAAATTTCCAATACCGGTAATTGGGCCCTTTTTGACCAATCGGTCCACACTATGTTTTTCCTTTGGACCAACTAAATTATCCACTACCATATAAATATTATTTAAACCAAGGTGAATAAAATATAGGGTCTCGGGAATATCGGGCGGTCCCCGCTCCCGATGTGGGCCCCACGCGCAATTTACTATTCACGCGAAAGAATTAATAAAAATTCACAACTTCGTAAATCCATTAACCATTCCATAAGGCTCAATACAGGGAAAACTGTCAAATAGGTCCTCGAACTTTCATAAAAAAGTCAATTAAGTCCTTCTATAGGATATTTTTTCCGATCGTCGCGATTTGGGGCGGTTCCCGATGGATTTTTTTGATGAAATTTTTTGAGCATCTTATTCATCAAGTCTAGTTTACTCATACCAAATTTCAGCTAAAAATGTAATCGGGAGCGCATTCGAATTAATTTGAGAACGCAAAAATGTGCAGTTATCTTCAAGAATTAATTTGAATATGTTCCCGATTGAATATTTAGCCGCAATTTGGTATGAGTAAACTAGATTTGGTGAATAAGATGCTCAAAAAATTTCATAAAAAAAATCCACTGGGAAGTGCCCCAAATCGCAACGGCCGGACAGAACCTCCTATAGAAGGACTTAATTGACCTTTTTATGAAAGTTCGAGGACCTATTTGACAGTTTTCCCCTCAATACATTATTCACTTAAAAGTAAATACATTTGGGGACGGTGTTACACTTAAATGGTTGTAGAAAAATGGTTGAAAGTACGAGTATCGTCTCCACAGGGACGGACAAAAGGGAATTAAAGATTAACTAAATTCAGCTATTAAAAGAAATAAAATAAAATAAAATGCAATTGTGCGAGATTGGTTGGTTGAGTAAAATAAAACTAATGTTAATGAGCGAGTAAAAGGATTGGTTTTTCCTTAATTAATGACGAAGGGAATAGGGATTGATTCCGGGGTTAACCAGATTTCTGGTTGATCAGGCCTAATTACATGAATTTAATTTAATTGAGCCTAGCTAATCACTACTAAGTTCTTACCGCTCTCGCGGCGTAGAGTACAATAATTTAGGGGACCAGGCTGATCTCTCATGCGACAGGATCCTAAATTATTGTCAAGACGAGCGAGCTTATGGCCCCTTAATCGCTACTAATCTCTTAGCGAACGATTAAGTGTGTGTGAATGTGTCCTAGAATAAACTAGATCTCTCTTAATTTATTCTACATGAAATTGTAATTCTAGCTGCAGTCTAGGTTACAAGAGATATCAATTAAATTCTTCATACACAAATTAAATGACATTCATGCAATTAAACCGATAAGAATTTAACCATACATCACGATTAACCCCTTCATCAAACCCAAATCCATAATTAAAGTACTCACAATTCATAATTGAAGAATCAACAGAATTGGGATGAATAGAATAAATTGTCATTAATTAAAAGAATTGAACTTACAAAGAATCACAGGGTTTTGAAGTAAACAACATAAAAACGTAGATAAAATTCGTCCTAGGCCTCTCCACAAAGTTTGTAACCCTCAAAAAGGGGTATGGAGGCCTTATTTATAGAAAACAACGAATTCGGGTCGAATTGGGACTGAAACGGGGTACGCACGGCACCTACGCACGACGTGCGTTCCCCTACGCACGCCCGTGCGTTGCTGCCAGTAGCTGATCCGAAATCTCGCCTTGGACGCATGGTGTGCGTTCCCGGACGCACGACCGTGCGTCAGCCTTCAACGTACTTGGTCGCTACTGCCACGCACGCACGCCGTGCGTCCCTGTACGCACGGCCGTGCGTGGCCTTTCTTCTCTGTTTGCTTCGGTTTCTTCCACTTTAAGTCTCCGTTTGGCCCCGTGATTGATCCAATAGCTCTTTCTTCATCAAAACTTCATCGTGAACCTCCCGGTGGCCTGCAAAATTTTGAATTCACTCTCAAATGCTTCTTAAACTCTTCTCGATTGCTTCTCAAGCGCCGGTGCCGGACTCTAAATTCCCGATTTTGACTCCAAACAACACAAAACTCGAACCAATGCCCGGTAAACATAACTTGAGCTAAAATTGAGACTTGTAACACCTTAAAGATAGGAAAACCATCAAAAGCCGATCTCAACACGCATCAAATGCGTGTCTAAATACGGACTCATCATTGATACAACAAATCACTATATGATCCATGAACATCAAGCAAAAGTCCATAAGTAGACTGTGCTAAAAACCTCTTTTCCGTATTCCACCTTCCGTCAAATAGAACAGTCACCATAAGTTGCTCCATACCTGTTTCATTGAATAATACTACATTACTAAATCACAAAACAAAAAAGTTTAAAACCATGTCATAGTGATTGTACAAGTTGTGTCCTTCTGTGTACTCACTAATTCCACTACAAGAAAACGTGGCTATAATGAGAGGATATACCGTGGTTAAAAGTTGAAATACTGTCATAAAATACATTTAGTGACGGGAAATATACCGTCACGACCCGTCACTATAGCTTCCGCGGTTAAAAGAAATAATGAGGGGAAACGAGTCCTGTCACTAATAAGTGTATTATGAGAGTAAGTGTACCCTCATAAAAAACATTGTTAATGTTGAAGCATCTAATCTAAATAGATCACAATATTTGACATTTTGACTCCTATCAATTAAATTCTATTAAAGACTAATACTTTGAACATGTACAATGATCAGAAATTCAAATTCGAGCTTTATTAGATATGGATAACGAAAAAAAATTACAAGTTTACAACTGTCATTACAAGAACAGAATTGAAGCTGAAGATTACAAACAACATTCCTATTGATAAAGTAAACACTCGTGTGTACATTCAAGGATTCACCCCTATTCTGAATTTGAAATGGTTAGGTGGGCCTTCATATGATTAATACAAATCCAGGCAAAGAAAAAACTGATCCTTGCAGCTATCCATACTTCTTGTTGAAAGCAAACTGCAACAAAAAAAAAAGACAGTAAATTTTAAACACATTAAAATATTTAACTAGCAATCTAGTCTAGAAAATAAACAACAAATTGTTTCTTCACTCAAATACAATCTAGAGAAACTTTCTTGAATTGAAAGGACAAGTAAGTTGTTTACCAGAATGTGATCAATATTGTACTGCTGCAAATGTAGTGTAAACTTTAACAAAAACCACAAATAAATAACAAATCTCTGAATGTGTAAACGACGAGCAGAAGAAATTTATATATCCATAAAAAAGAATGATTTGAACTCTTTAGAAGCTTCAAATCAACAAACAGAGTAAATAAATACCAACAAAATGATCTTCCGGAGTAAATAAAAACCAAGAGCGTGAACCTGCCAAGCATCGGAATAATGATTAAGTATTTGTTTCAAGTTCTTTACGAGATGATACACTTCAATTGAATACTAAGCCTGCACAATATCAACATCAACAAGTTAAATCAAAGTAAGCTAAAACTAGTTTTCCTATTGAGAAGATTTAAAAATCAAGGAAAATAATGGTTGGTTTTCCAACTAGAATAGACTACTCAAGAATAATGAAAATCAGAGTAACAAATGAGAGTCCAAACCTCCAATCAGGAGTCCATCAACTTCAGAGTCCAAGACAAATCACCATTCACAACCAAAACTCAAACATTCTGGTTTGAAGTAGCTTGCAAATAAATAATAAATGAATAAATAAATAAATAAATGAAAAGAAAAGAGAATAAATTTTAACAGAACAAAACTTAACAACTTATATACGAACAAACCAAGGTGCAAAAAAAGTCTTCACCTAAATTAATGAATACGAAAGGTAAACAATGTCATTTAATCAAGTTACAAAAAATACCAAGAACGCATTTTCTTTAGTTCTTTTCTTCAATACCATATTTTGAGTTTTAATATTGCCTAAATAACCATCAAATAAACTTATGTGTCTAGAAACTAGGATAGCCTTGTTACGTAGCCTAAAAAAGTAGAACTAATTAACAAGACAAAGTGAAAAATATTTAGGATCCCTTATATACAGAAATATCATTAATTCATTAATTTTTCTAAACCATAATTTCAATATAACGAAGAGAAGCATTATACCAGATTATCACATCAGATTTATAGTAATAAATTATGGGAATAAACACTTTCTTGACCTATGATTCAAGTTTCAGCTAACATCCACCAAGTCAAGGAGTTTTTCCTGCTAAGGAAATGGAAAGTGAAAATTTCATTTTATTATAGATATGATTTTTGCAGTTGAGGTCCGTGAGGGGATGACAAGGAGATATAACTTTGTTTAAACAAAGACAAATTATTACCAGTGCCTTCTTACTCGTCATTCTCTTATCCTTTCATACAACTTTCATCAAACACATAGTGTGCATTACTGGAAACCTGCTAAGAATGACAACAAATTGAAGGGGATACCTCAAATCAATCATACGTATCTCAATAATTAGAAATGATTTAGTCAAAAACTCTTCAGATCTGGATAAAGGGGATTAAAATCAGTTAAAATTGAAGCAAACCTGGAAAAAAAAAACTAACGAAGAAGTATTAACTAAACAAAAACCAAAAGCCAGAGAAGTTGAGAAAAAGCAGATATGTCAGCTAATCAGCACCTGAGAAGCAAGAAG